CGTTACAAAGTTATAAACTGTAGAAACTTATAGCCTCTGAAATTACTTACCGACTGGCATGTCCTGGAGATCGTACACCTTGTGGTGAAATTGGACAGTGTGGCTAAAAAACTTACGACACTTCTCGGGCGTCGCTGCTTCGTGAATGTTCGCTTCGACAGCCTGGAGCAACATGGTGCGGCGATGCTCAGCCATAGTCGAGTACAATGGAGCGACAAGAACTTCGTCGCGGTTCTCGACGAAAAAGCGCTTGACGCCCGCCTTGAACACCGAGAAACAGTTCTCGATGGGGTTCAGCATGGGGGAGTAGGGGCCAAGGCGCAACAAAGTCATGCCAGCAAACTCGTCCATCGCAAAGACACTCTCCAGGTCGTTGTGGGCTGGTGCATTGTCAACGACGACAAGGACTTCCGAACGAGGGTGGCGTTGGCAAAGCTTACGCAACAAGTCGACAAAGAAGGCGTTGACAGTGATCATATTGTTCGACCCAAAGCGTGTATCGTAGTGCACAAGGCCATTCTCGCCAATGCACGCCAAGACTTGAATGTTTTGACGCCCGCCAGACTTGGTTGTTTGCACAGCTCTTTCACCCTTCTTCGACCAGCCCATGCTTCTCGACGTCCACAAATTGAAGTTGGTCTCGTCCATGTAGTACGCGGTCTTTCCCCCCAACGACACGTACTCTTGCAGCTGGATCAAGAAGTTGCGACGTTTCTCCTTGTTTTCAGGCTTATTCATGTACTCGGGCTTCACATGAGTTTGCTTCAGAGTAAAACAAGCGCCCTCCAGATTGTTCTTGACGGTTTGTTGGCACACGACAAGGCCGAAACGGATTTGCAGGGATTCTGCCATCATCTTGAGTGTCAACTTGGGATTGTCGCCAAGAAGTTCAGTCAGGTATTCGACGTGGAAGTCGTGCATCTTGGAGCCACGAGAACCGCCCCAAATGCCACCCCAGAGTGTGCCGAGCTTGAAGCGGGCAATCCACGTATACGCTGTCTTCTCCTTCACCTTGATGATGCGAGCAACCACACGCCAGTCGTCACCCCTCGAAAAAGCATCGATGATGAGCTCCTTCTTCTCCTTGCTGTGCTTGTCACGGCGCATCTTGTAGACTGACGATCTTATTCACAATAATGCGCAGGCGGGCGGAATTCTCGTACTTTCAGCATGAATTCGCCCTCATTCACGAAAATCTAATAACCTCTCCATAATCTATTTCTGAGTAGACCAGGTTTCATAATATTAAAGAGGTTCAAGCTTCACTTGGATTTGGGTGGACTTCACTTCATTTGGGAATTTCTTCACTTGGACTGGAAATGGTGTATCTCAAGGCGGTGCTGGACTTGCCAATTCAAAATTGTTGAAGGACGAACGACTGTGAACAGCGACAAGAGACCCCCCGCCCCATAAAAAATGA